GATGCTGAAAATACGTCAGTATTGTACGTTTTGGTGCCTGTAAAAACGTACGTAAATGTACGTTTTGTAGAACCACATTTTACGTAAAATACAGACGAATTATCATGAGATCACGCTGAAAAACCACAAGGGAATATGATTTGAAAATGCCTGTCTAAACAATGTGTGTATTTGTAACGTGACATGGTATTTATTTTATCCGAGGAGACAGTGTAATTATTTCATTTTCATTTAATTAGTTAAAAGCATCAACAGTTGCATTCCGACCAAAACATCGTCAACAACATTTCAAAGCAACATTCAAGGATCAACTTCTGTTGGACAGTATACCTTTTAAACACTTTCATAAATGTTGTAATTGTTATTGCTAAATGGACTGCAAAAACACTGGAAAATAGATACACATGTCAAACAAATTCAGAAACAGACTTTTTTAACTCCAATATTCAAGTTTAATACCAAAGCTTTCCACTCTTCTCTGATTAGTGAAAAGAGCCAAAAAAGGCTAAAAGCGCTAATATTTTGTCTACTTAAATTTAACGTAGAAGTGTTATGTTGATGTGGCATTGATAAAAAAAGATTTGAAAGTCTGAACAAATGTGTGTGCTTACACTGATAATCTCCATGAAGCCGTCCACACTCATGAATCAGTCTTAATTGTTTTGTTTTCCAGTAAAAATAAGAAAACAAGACAAACTCATATGAGGAACAACTGTGTATGATAATTCGACATATTTTCAATGACGTTTATTTTTACAGCTATAGATTTAAAACAATTACAAAAAGTATGTCAATTTTGATTTACAGATTCATTTATTTGTAGCATCTTGTTGCATATTATGTAACATGAAAATGTCGCCTACTATTAACCAACAATATGGGAGGAAATATTTAGAAAAACATCATGTGGTTTATTGAACAAACCTCTGAAGACAGCGTCTCGCATTTTCATCGTACAGCAGGTCTGAAAGCCCAGCAGACACAGAGATCGCAGTTGTGCAACACAAACACATCCAGCCTCATGCAGTTTTCACACAAATAATGAATCGATTCCCGGTTTTGTAGCCTATAAGAGCTTGTCTATTGCGAGTCTGGAGTCCAAAAATCTAACAAAGCCGACCACCAAATATAAAACAATACCTGTAAAAACGACATGTTTCAAAAAATAAAATAATTTTATTTATTTCGTTAGTTAGTTGCTGTACTGAAGCCATATATAAGCCAATTATGAAAAAAAAACACTATTTCAATTCAATAGAAATGTATTTGTATATATGTAAATATTGTAAATATTGTTCCAAAGCAATAACCTTACTAAAATAACCAAACCTGAAATAAAAATGAATAAAACTATAGACATATTTTAAATAGCTAAAAACAACATTATTACAAAATTATTAAAACTTCAACTAAAATTAAAAAGAAAATGAAAAATCTAAAAATAAAACTCATTTAAAATATTAATAAAAAATATAACTAACAGCATCTCAGTGAAACTAAAATAACACTGCTGGTTTGGATCTATTTATTTACTTATTTTTAAACCCCTGTCCTGAACAAGATAAAGTGTTTACTATCACACACTGACTAAAGATCAAAAACCATGTCGTTTCATGTTGCACACTGATAATTTGGATAAGATAGGCGTATATCAAAGTGCAATTTTTGATAGTCTCTCATATCACCATGTTACAGCAGTGATGCATGTGATCTTCCCTCTGAGCTTGCCATTTCATGCCATGTGCTTCTTTCCATTCAACACTTATAGATCACAGACCTGTTTCCATAAAAAAATCCAAAATACAGACTCACAGCAACTGAGTTTCCATGCATGTTCCAACTGTAGCATAATTTTGTGGTAGCGAAATATATGCACATTTAGACTGGTGAAAAGAAAACATGCAAAAGTTTTTTTTAATGAACACTTTGTTTCCTAAAAACATGGTGAAAATGTATTTATTTTCTGTGATAAAAAAGAAGTCCCCTCTGTAAAAACCTTTATAAGTCAACAAAATGAAACAAATTTTGAAACAGGCTTTATCAAATTTTCAGATTTCTGGGCAGGAAATGTATGCAAATGAGTACATATTTAATTGGATAATGCCTTATTTGCATATTAACCTGTTATAAAGGTTAAAAAATCTTAAAAGAATAGTGCACCCAAAAATGAAAATTTGCTGAAAATGTACTCACTGCCAAGCCATCCAAAATGAGTTTGTTTCTTAATCGGAACAGATTTGGAGAAATTTAGCATTAAATCACTTGCTCACCAATGGATCCTCTGCCGTGAATGGGTGCCGTCAGAATGAGAGTTTAAATAGCTGACAAACACATCACAATAATCCACACAACTTCAGTCCATCAATTAACATTTTGTGAAGTGATACGTTCCAAACCATTTTCTTCTGGCTAAAATATGAAATATTCAAATATGAGTCTGAATCAGGTGAGAAATATTCGAAGCACCGTTAAAAAACGCAAACAGTCCAAAAACAGTTCCAAATAAATGTCGGTGGATTTGGATGAGAACGGACAACAGGGAGGAAGCTTTTTTCAGTGGAGGAAGCACCATTATGGATTATTTTGGCCAGAAGCTTTGGTTTAAAGTTAAAATGCCTTAAAGGGGTAATTCACAGAAAAAAATTTAATTCTGTCATTAATTACTCACATTCATGTCGTTCCAAACCCGTAAGACCTTCGTTCATGTTCAGAACACAAATTAAGATATTTTTGATGAAATCCGAGTGCTCTCTGACCCTGCCAGCAACGCAACTGAAATGTTCCTAGACCCAGAAACGTATAGAGGGTCAGAGAGCTCTCGGATTTCATCAAATATATACAAAATATATAACAAAAAATGTTTTCAAGGGTCATGTCGAAACAACTGAACATTGTTTACTTCCCTGTGTATAATAAAAAATAAGCCTTCTGCTGAGGAGAAAGGCAAAGGTATATGCATATTCTGAGTGAATAGATGAATCACTGTGCCAGCATATCTATTAAGGTTTCCGTCTAAGCCATCAAAGAGTTACATTGGCAGGAATGATTACAACCCAACTGATGTATACCTCTACTTGACCAATCCCTATACAAACATCATTTCATTTCTAATCTCCTAATCACATGACCTAGTGGCAAGCTGCGTTAAAAGCATACTTTGTAATATTGATATGTAGGTCAGGAGCATATCTGTCATTAGGCTGCCTACTAGAATGCTTTTTTATGCTCGGCTCGTTTGATGTAGATATTACTGAAAATGTAGCATTACAAAGGCAACAAATCAGTCGTGATTGTGAAGTATGTCCTGGTTTACATGTACCAATATCAAGAACTTAAATACCGGATGCCAGAAAAATCACATGATTCTTACCAGCGTACCACTTCAATATAGATCAACCACCTTCAATGAGTAATGCATGCGCTGTTTGTCACGCTGCTAATAAAAAATAAGCCTTCTGCTGAGGAGAAAGGCAAAGGTGTATATATGCATATTCTGAGTGAATAGATGAATCACTGTGCCACCATATCTATTAAGGTTTCCGTCTAAGCCATCAAAGAGTTACATTGGCAGGAATGATTACAACCCAACTGATGTATACCTCTACTTGACCAATCCCTATACAAACATCATTTCATTTCTAATCTCCTAATCACATGACCTAGTGGCAAGCTGCGTTAAAAGCATACTTTGTAATATTGATATGTAGGTCAGGAGCATATCTGTTATTAGGCTGCCTACTAGAATGCTTTTTTATGCTCGGCTCGTTTGATGTAGATATTACTGAAAATGTAGCATTACAAAGGCAACAAATCAGTCGTGATTGTGAAGTATGTCCTGGTTTACATGTACCAATATCAAGAACTTAAATACCGGATGCCAGAAAAATCACATGATTCTTACCAGCGTACCACTTCAATATAGATCAACCACCTTCAATGAGTAATGCATGCGCTGTTTGTCACGCTGCTGACATTCAACCACTCAATATGTTCTCAAAAGCACTCTCAGAGCTCCACAGTATATAATCAAAGTCAAAGCTGATTCAAACCAGTCCAATATTGTTCTAAAGTAAACGAAAATGAAAGTGGCTGTGCAAAGGAGAGGGAAATTAGCATGCAGTCAGGCACGTCACCACACTGTGCTCTAAGCCGCTCAACTGTGTCCCGACTGCAGAGAACATTTCAACAGACGGGCATGACAGATGACCGTCAAAGATCCTGCTTCTGGGAATCACGTCCAAATTGGACAGACACAGCCGAATGGCATGGAGATGTGAGCTTCTGCTTGTCGATATCTGGCAACATCCCACAGAGATTAAGAGCCTCATTGATTCAGGTGTTAAGCTACAAATTCAATTCACTACAAAAATGTCCACATTTATGGGTTTTCTGTTGATTTTTTGTTTTTCATTACTTTCCTGTTACCTATTAGGCACCAGGTGTCCATACCTGTTCCAGGAGGGCAACTGTCCTGCATTAATACTTTTATTCAGCAAGGACACATTAAACTAATCAAAAAATTGACTACAAAGTCTTTTATACTGTTACAAAAAAAAAAAAAAAATCTATTTAAAATAAATTCAGTTCTTTTGAACTTTCTATTCATTAAACAATCCTGGGGGGTAAGCAGCAGAACTTCTTTCACTGTTTTCAACATTGATGATAATAATAAATGTTTCTTGATCTGCAAATCATTATATTAGAATGATTTCTGAATGATCATGTGACACTGAATAAATATTTATTCTGCTTTTTTCTCTCTTTTTTTTTTTACTGTATTTCTGATTGAACAAATGCTGAGCCTTCTTGAAAAACATTTTAAAAATCTTTCTGACCCTAAACTTTTGACCGATTCCTGACTTTCTGACCAATTTGTATGTCATGTACTGGTGGTTGCTACACATTTCCCTCCCCTGTATTGTGAGAATAGGAACTGTTTGTACTCTTTTTGACACGTCTTTACAAATTTTTTTTCCTTTTTTGATTTTTCATCCTCTGAGGGTGGGTTATAGCTTTAATTAAAGGGGTCAGACCACACGTAGTCACGTAGTCTTAACAGCTGAAAAAATACTGTCATGCTCTTTTATGCTGTTAGTTATGGCTTTGCTTCTCTCCACACATGGCTTACTTTTGTTGTTAGTCTTATCTTTCACCTGAAGCTCACAAGTCTCAAAGCCACAAATTACATTAAAAACATACCTTTCAAACATAAACCGATTCCAATGCCAAATGTTAAAGCACTTTATTGACACACAGAACAGTGAACATGTACAGGCATTTTCATAACAATATCCACCACACAAGTAGTCAGATGTGTTTCTCAATATTTAAAGACACTGTATTTTGTACACCACTGTGATAGTGATTAGGACACCACACACTGTGAGCAATTTATTTTCCTGCTTGCTCTCTACAGTTAAATAATAGAAATAATAAAAATCACTAAGTGACTGGAAAAAACATATTTTTAGGGGCAAATGAAAGGAATTGAGGATCAGCGGGAGATAAAGTTGGAGTTTAACATTAATTCAGTGTAAAAATAGAAAGAATCATAAACCTCCAAAGCTGTTTGATACACTTCACAATGAGATGCCAGTGATTTTCTTTACATAGATGTACTGTGATAGCACCGGTACAGTGATGTATCAGATGGTAATAGCATGGTACTGTGATATATACAGTAGTACTGAAGCATATGCATGTACTATTTACATGTACTCCTTCGTACTTCAAAGAATACTAACATGGTACACGTTCATGACATTTGAACATGTTTGTTAGTGTTGTTTCATTTTCACTCTATGTCAGAGTGGCTTTTAATGCTCAGATACAGAGAGCTGACCATTGTAGCCTCCTCAGGCAGCGACCCCTTCAAGTCTGTATGCTTCATGCACAGGAGAGCTCTCAACAGTTTGGGGAACTTCACAGTGAAAAGCAGGTAGATACATGGATTGGCAACACTGTTCAGGCTCGCCAGCAACATGATGATGGTGAAGGTTGCAGCTGAAATATAAATATATATATACACTGGTTAGACACATATTCTTAATAAATATCCCGAAACATTTCATATTGATTGAGCATAGCTCCAGATAACATGTAGGGGAGAGTGGGGAGTGTTGGAACATAAATTGGAACATCTTCCATTAGCTTAACCAATCAGAAATGAGTTAGAGAGGTGACATCATATACAAATGTGTGTGTGTGTGTGTGTGTGTATGCTTAAATAGTTTGTATTAAGCGTTTTATAATATGGTGTAATTTCCATTCACATTTGGTTTAATTGTATTTTTTTTATTAATTAATTGTTAGCTTTTTTTACAGTTTAATAAAAACTCCAAGGTCACATCACAATTCCCCTGATTAAAATTATGTAGCACTATAAATCTTTAAAGGGGTCATATGATGCGATTTCAAGTTTTCCTTTCTCTTTGGAGTGTTACAAGCTGATTGTGCATAGATAAGATCCCTGAAGTTGCAAAGACTAAAGTCTCAAAACCAAAGAGATATTCTTTATCAAAGTTAAGACTCTGCCACGCCCCCCTAAAACGGCTCATTCTAACACGCCCCCACATATCTACCCCACTATGTGGAAATATTTGCATAATCCCGCACCAAATAATGATCTTTAAAAAAGCATCATATGACCCCTTTAAATAATATTAATAATAATAATAATAATAAAACAATATCTGACGACCTTATTCAGGACGTGAAATTTTCCTCCACTTTTTAATAACTTTCTTTAACCACTATTTTATATTTTGTTATGTTTGTCAGTAGCCTATAGGAGACGATATTAAACCGAAATATTAGTTAACTTGTGTCACCTTGTATCAGCCCTATTATATTTGCAAAGGCATATCTCAACAGCACATCTTTTTACATTTAGATTAAGATGGCACAATGCAATTTATTAATACCCAAAAGTGTTTGTTAGAAGACTTTCTCTTACTCTCGGTCGGAGCGTCCGCGTTCCACACAGACCACAGCTGAACGGTGAAGAACGGAGCCCAGCACACGGTGTAGGCGAGCACGATCACCACCGTCATCTTCACGGTCTTAATTCGAGACTTGGACACCGACGCCACGTTGCTGGTCCTGGAGGAAAGATGGTGCTGCTGCTGGGTCTTCAGGTACAGGTTGGTCTGGAGCGCGCGGCAGATGCGCACCTGGCACACCGTCACGGTTACGATGGGCACCAGAAATATCACCAGCGTCGTCCACGTCACGTACGCTTTAGGTCCCCACGGCTGAATGAACTGTGCCCAGCAGTCGTAGACACCCGGGCCGATCTGAACCCTGGAGAAAATAAACAGCTGCGGGACGCTGAAGACGAACGACGCGAGCCACGCGACGCACACTGGCAGGTTCCAGCGCGCGCGTCGCCTCTGGAAAGTCACCATGGGGTTACAGATCGCCTGATAACGGTCAACAGTCATCACAACTATCATGTAAGTGGAGGCGAACATGCCGACGATCTGCAGATACTTGACCAGACGACATACGAGGTCAGGACCGATGAAGCGGTCGGTTATGTCCCACATCAGCTGTGGACACACCTGGAAAAAGGCGACCACCAGGTCCGCCAAGCAGAGATGGCTCACAAACACGCGCATCCTGGACATCTGCTGTCTTTTCTTCCACAAAACTAGAAGCAGACCAAAGTTCAGAAATGATGCGCAAAGAAAGATGACGCTCAGCAGCGCGATTTCGATTTGAGCTAAATGCTCGTCCCGGGGTTCATCTCCGGTGGCTTCCATCTCCAAAGTTGCATCGCTCAAGTTTAACGTAAGGACAGGCATTTTCTTCATATCTCGACAGTTTTAAATTAGTTCAGGTTTAGTAGGTGCCGTTTTACTGACCCAGTGCGCACGAGACTGTCAGTAGTCACCCGTCTGCGCATCTTTAGCGTCTTTAAGAGTGCGCGGAGACTACAGGTTTTATATGTTGCTCTGGTGGATGTGGGAGGGTCTTTCATTCACAAATAGGCCTACTCATGAACACAATATGGCATTCAGAAATCCACATGCTCAGAAGATGGATTATATGTTTTATACAAAGACATTCACCCTTTGGCAATTTTGCTTAATAAATATTTACTCTGGACCTTCCAGATAGAAATGTATTTATAATGTAGCCAACATAGGATATCTCCATTTAATTACTAATGTGGCTAAAACCAATCAGGTGCATTCACCAATGATGATTTGGGAGTCATATTAAAGGAATAGTTCACCCGAAAATGAAAATGTATTTATAATTTACTCACCCTCAGGCCATCCAAGACTTTTATATTATTTGGATAGTTCAACCAAAAGTTGTATATATATATAAAATCAACAACATTGAACCAAACTTTAATTCTATAGACAGAAAAAGAAAAAAAAAAAATCACACAAATGGAAACATTTTTTAAAATATCTTTTTCGTTCCACAAAAGAAATAAGTCATACAGGTTTAAAATAACATAAGGGTGAGTAAATAATGACAAGAATTTTCATTTTTGGGTGAACTATCCCTTTAAATTTGACACCTTTACATTGAATTACTCTTAAAAAGCTGTGGGACTGTATAAAAACAATAATCAATGCAAAAATGATGACACAACTTACCCCTAACATATCAATGTGAAACGCTTATCATATTAAGTAATTCACAAACATATCAAAAATAATCCTTATGTAATCTCTGAACATCCATGGACTTTAAAGCAAGACAGCACAACACTGTACAACGTGATGTGGGTTACTTTATTTCAAAGTAAACACCTGGAGAGTTGGTTGCATAACCTGGCTTCTAATAACTGTGAACTGTTGACAAAAGCAACATCATTTTCCTCATAATGAAACCATGGCTACAGCGTCAAGATGTCTTCTCTTCAAGAGAGCTAAATTACTCCCTTCACTATAATAATTACACCACTCTTCTGAAAGGGCAAAATCCCACATCAAATAAACAAAATGAACTTTGCATCATTGCGTCATTCAATTTAGATGCATCTTTGTTCAAAACAATTATATTAATTAATGAATATGATATTATGTCAAACTAAATCCCCATTTATAAAAAATAATAATAGGGAAATTCATGAATAATTAATAAAAGAAAACTTCTTAGAGCATGTTTATGATGCACATGGTTCAACGACAGGGTAAATAGTCCATATGTTAAGCATTCTAAATCCGAAAATGTGCACTTTGATGCTCCAAGACATTTTCTGCACCCTGAAAACCATCTAAATAAACCATAGCCAAGACAAAATCCCAAGATAGCAACCACAGATATACCTAAACCTTTGGTTGCATTGCATCTGCAAAGGCATAGGTCCAAATGATTTATACCATTGCCCTGATGGTTCCTTCTCACACTACCCACTGACACTATGGAGGTGCACCTTCTGTACACAGACTCATAATGCATTATTGTACATGCATGCAGAGACATAAGCACTTTTGACACTAGTATGTTTGCTTATCTGGCATCAGGATGTGCTGAGGGTGGCCAGGAGTTCCTCTTTGCTCATCTGATAGTGGCTCTTCTTCCACATGTCCCTTAGCTCCTGAAGGATGGTGCCAATCTCTTTACCCGAGGTAAAACCCAGTTTGCGTAGGTCATGCCCACTCACTGGGAAGCGCGGGATGGACCACCTGCTCAGCTCATCTAAGAGTTTCTTTTCTCCCTGATACTTCAGCAGCTCCAGGACTTTACTCTGGGAGTCCGGCTCTCTAGACTTCAATGGAAAAAAAACAAAACAGAAAATTATATTTAAATAAAAACATTCAGTGTTGTTATTGTTAATTAATAAATAAAAAATACAATATATAGAGAATATAGTACTAAATATATAGAAACATTTTGAATAGAAATGTTGCATTTGCAGCTTACTAAAATAAAGTTCAGAAGTTCTAAAAATGTACTTTAATTATTACATTTTAAATAAAAATAAGTTAAAGCTAAAAAAAATATTTGTAAAAAAATTTAATGAGAAAAATACATAAAAGGCTAATATTTAAATAAAAAAAAACTGTTAACAGAAAATGCTAAAATAAAAGCTAATTCAAAATATTAATAAACAGTACATAAATAAAACTAAAATAACATTGGAATGACAGTTTGAATGATTATGGGGATAAAGTGGGTCTTCCTGATGTTTTATATATGAAATTCAATCAATTTCAATTAAAATGTTGTACATTTATTTAATTTGAAATACAACTGATGTAATGACATTTTTGAATTATATTAGAGCAGAAGGAAATGCACATACATCAATGATGAAATCTGTGTATGGTTTCATGCTGTCATGTTCGTCCTGTTCCTTTACGAGATCTCGTCTGTATTTGACCAGGAAGAGGCTTAAGTTTTTCTCCTCTCTGGATAGTTTCAGTCGCAGATCCAGTTTCTCCACATCATCCTGGCTTTGGAACAGAGCAGTCAGGATAGTCATGGGTTTAGGAGAGCAGTCATGAGCCTTCTGCCAGATCTGCTTCATCTCCTCAACATTGCCATCTGCTGGAAGACCTGTAGGAAAATACACAGCAAGTCTGAACATTTATAATATTAAAAAAATATTCTTATATATAAACATTACATTCATAAAACAAAATTGTATTGTGAAAAAAAACCGTGCAAGTCCCCCCCCCCCACACCACCTTTTTTTCCTTTTTACGTCTCCAGAAAGTTACATTACCATTTTTATGCCCCACAAAAAAATATCAAAGTTAACTTTAATTCAGAAATTTAAAGCATGTTCATCATAGAAAACTGCCCATATGAATTGCATTTTTAAATGCATTTTTAATAATACATTTGGATGGGAAAAAAATTAGTGACAGGTAATTGTCCATTGTATGTTTAGATTTTCAGCCACAGTTCCTTACAAATATTTGTATCACTATGTTTTGTTTCTCACCTGTGTACTGGGCAAGGCCCAACTCATAGACAAGATCCAGCAGGTGATCAGCATGGTCTCCAACCAGCATCTTCTTCAGCTCCACCCAGATCCTCTCACCTGAGATTCCTGCCAATCCTCTGGCATTCTCTCTTATTGCCTCCAGAGTCTCGGGTTCATGTTGCCCAGGCTCAGTTGCCACCCGCCCATAAAATCTACAGAGCAATCAGACAAAAAAATTAAGATAAACCACATAGGCCATTTATAGGCTATACAGTGGCTATACTTCATAATATTCACTGAAAAAAAAAAAAGTTATTGTAAAAATAATATTGTAAAATTTAAAGGATAACTTATTCACCCTTATATAATTAGGTGTGTGTGTGTGTTTATATATATATATATACAGTGGTGTGAAAAAGTGTTGGCCCCCAACCGAGACTTGTCATTCGCACTTACATATTGTTGCTCTTTTGTTAGTTTTGATCTATTCTATTGTCCTCATTTGTAAGTCGCTTTGGATAAAAGCGTCTGCTAAATAACTAAATGTAATGTAATGTAATATAATTTCAAAGGCATATATCCAGTAATAGCGCACAATTACCTGAAATATCTCAGAATTCGAAGGTAGTCCTCTAGGATCCGTAGTGAGGCGCTGCCGACAAACCTTACTTTCCTGTTCTTGAGGTCCTCGTATCCTTGGAAATAATCATAGAGAGTTCCATCTAGCCCTGTGAAAAACATAATATAGGACAAATCAAATATACAAAAATGTTAATGATTCAAAATCCAAGTCAACAACAAATCAATGAGAAATGCAAAGCTAACGCAGGTGAAGTATTTTACCAAGAAACATGGAGTTGATGGTGAGATCCCTGCGCTCTGCATCCTTCTGCCAGTCAGTGGTAAACTCCACCTCTGCGTGCCGCCCATCGGTCTGTACATCCACTCGCAAAGTGGTCACTTCAAAGTTCTCCTCATGAAGCTATATAATGTATAAATCCGCAATGTTGACATTATGTGGCAAACTGTCACCAATCAAAACAGATCACCTAAACCCTCTGCAGGTCTTTAAAAATATGGGTTAGAGGTCTGGAGTAAAACTTTCAAGATTATAATATTTAAAAAAACGGTATTTTTCACCTTACCCTGGCCGTAATGGTCCCATGTTTCTCTCCTTTGTTGTTTATCATCCTGACTCCTGCTGCCTGGAACATGCTCTTCATTTGCTCTGGAGTGGCTGTGGTGGCAAAATCCACATCTTCAGGCCGTTTTCCTGACAGAAGGTCGCGCACTGCCCCTCCTGCAATCCTCAGCTCAAACCGGTTCTTTTCAAACATTTCTATTTGTCATTAAAAAAAAATCACATTTTGGACATGTTCCTTGGTAGTACAAAGTAAATTGCATGGCACACTAAAATGGTAATCATTCAAAAGTTTGGACATGCCTAACTTAATGTACATAATAAAATGCAAAATAGTTTTATTTCCATTTATGCTATTTCATCGTTTTTGGTGACTTTACTGTTATTCTAAAATATGAAAATGCTAATAACAAAGACTGAGTAAGTGTGTCCACTCTTCTCAATGGTACTTGTATATTAAAGTGGTATTGAAGTACCATGGTACCACCACAGTATTTTTTAAAAGGTGGGTGATGAAGTCAGATAAAGTGATCTTACCAGCCAGAGCAAGCAGCCCGTCGGTAAATAAGGACTCAAACTCTTTAGTCTTCAGTTGCATGGTGACTAATGATCTGTGACTCCACGTGAGATGATGAACTCGGTTGATAAACGAGGGGCGCAGAAATAATTTAGCCCACATTGGTGAACTTTTTAAAGACAATAAAAAGTCAGCGTCTGTAAATTTCACATGTCATATAAATAATGCTGAATCTTAAATATATATATAAACGTTAGGTTAGAAAATAGCTAATGACTTGAGGTGACTCTTCGAGGCTAAGGTAATGAGCACATTAACGTTACATGACATTACCAAAGATAACACTGTGAGGTCATAATTGGAGTTACTAAAACGAACAACAAATGTATCAAGTGTGAGGAAAAAATAAGTTATATTTATTCACCTCAGGAAAAAAAAATAGATGCTATTTCAGCACATCGGTAGTTTCACTTGGGCTGTGCGCAGCCATGACAGTCAGACGTTCACACAGAAGGGGCGTGGTCAGGTTACACAGAGCTTCCGGGATAGCTACGTAATGACTTTAATAACCAATGAAAATTGTTTATTTAGTTTTTCAGGCTCCCACCCAGCATGCTGGCTTTAGAAATACTAACATTTATTTGCATTTCTTAGCTGTAAATTAAATTGGGCTTTAATGCTGTTCATTAAAACTGAATTTGTTTCGTATTCGCGCTGATAAAACTGTGATATGTTTATTATGTTTTATGTGCAAAATGTCAGCTATTAAAGCAATTCGCGTTTGTCCTCAATCAATCAGGCAGTAAACCAGCCGTAAAGGAATATGTGAGTAGTATGATAATAAAAAGCATTATCTCTCTGATTGCATCAAGTCCTAAATATTCAAACTTGATGGGTTGTCTACATTTAAAGGTACCACCCATTTAAAGCCAAAGCGCATCGCGAGAGTGAGGACGTGATAGACTGTTGCATATTATGCAGTGAGCAGCTGCTGGGATCCGGTTAGTTTGATTTAATGGCTAAAGTGGAGATCGCCCCTTTGAGAAGCTGGGATGATTTCTACCCAGGCTCAGAGCGCTTCGCCAGACCAGACACGCGAGATCTGGCGAAATGGAACAACAGAGTGGTCAGCAACCTGCTGTACTATCAAACAAACTATCTGGTGTTGGCAATCATTGTATTCCTGATTGTAGGGTAAGTCCAGTAGTCTCTGTCTTCTTGGTGAACGTGAACATGCATGCACAATATGGGATTTAACTGTAAACAGAATATTCAGGTAGTATTTCTAATTTGTTGTGGGCACGTCAACACCAACATCGCATTACAGAAAGTATCGCGAGAAGTAATATCTGTTCAAATAAAATACGCTGTAAAGTCAGCTTTAAATTACAACCGCTTTAAATGCACTGTAAATAAAGTTCTAATGTTTTTAAGCACGGTACTATGATACTGTATTTTTAATTTTTTTGGATACGTACCAGCAAATTTCAGTACCTTATATTATCATTTGACATCATCATTGTAACTTGGTATCAGCACTGTACTTTTTGTAAGAGAATTTCATGTTGCACTGAAGAAAACAAGCCGTTCTAATGCTTAGTTTTTGTCCTGTACAATTTAGAACATGAGGTAATTCTTAGCTAAATATAGGTAGAGGATAGTTAGCCTAGTTGATCCGGGCACACATAGTTGTGTTGGTATGTGGGCAGCTGTGTTTGTAAGACGAAGGCCAGTCTAATGTCTGGGAGATTATGGTTTTGCCCTAATATTATAGCTAGTTGCTAAAACTGAACAATATTTAAGGGTGTAATCACATGACACTGAGCATGAGCAAAGGGCACGAGAGCAGTATTTAGTCGTGTAATCACAGTCATAAACTGCATGTCTGTTTTCACGTCAAGATTTATTATTTAACTGTCAAGTTTATTCATTTTTATAATAACCAACATGGAAAATGTCTCCTTTGGTCAAAAATATTTTTGCGTTTACACTTTATAACCATTAGGTGTCACTATTGACATATGCTTGTATTCTCATAAATCTATGCTGTGATCTAAAACAAATTCAAGTGAGTTTAAGGGAGTATTTAAAGGAGTACACTGCTAAGTAGACATTGATTGAAGTATAAATGTAGTATAATCACTACGATTTTGTCTTCAATAACATCCTATCACCATCTAATTGTCTGTCCGCAGGTTGTTGAACCCTGTGAGCATGTTCACGGGTGCAGCAGTGGTCGCTTCTGTCTTCATTGGCTCTGTATGGGCAGGGGAGAACAAGGCGATCATCAAAAAATTCAAGAAGGAGAACCCTACTCTGTTTGTGTTCTTGGTGATGGTTGTGAGCTACTTCCTCATGTCACTCTTCGGTGGAGTTATGGTGCTCCTGCTTGGAATCAAGCTGCCTCTTCTCTGTAAGTTTCTTAAGAAAATTGTCATCATTATCATAAATCTAAAAATGAAAGGAGAAAAAAAAAAACAGCCTGTTTTCATAAGATGGAAATCTTTTAGATGGAATACAGTACCACTCTTTGTGGCTTGCAGGAAAACAATTGCAAAGCAGCAGTTTATTAAATCTAGATATTATGTCGTTTAACATGCAACGTGAAGCATCTGCAAGCTTAAAGTGCTTTGTCATTTTGCGTTTCAGTGATCTTTGCACATGCATCGCTTCGCCTACGGAACATGAAAAACAAACTGGAGAATAAGATGGAGAGCGCCGGACTCAAGAAATCACCCATGGGAATCATACTTGAAGCACTGGGTCAACAAGAAGAGAACCTCAATAAAATTCAAGACTTTCTAGAGAGCAAACTCAAGGAGTGAACTTTTACTGAGCCTCTCTCCCATACAAGAAGGAACTGCTTTCATCTGGCACAGTTTCAGAAAACGACTCCGTTTATTCCAACATTTTTAATAGGCAAAACAAAAAGTATTTTTCTTAGTGTGTTTTTTCTATTATGGAATGAACTAATTGTATTGAACATAAGAGTGTTTTATAATGTTTGTTTACATCTCAGGTCAAATGTAAGAGGATGCCATTCAAAACGTCTTCCAAAGATTTCTTTATGACCTGTAGGAAAACGTGTCATATGTGCATATTTCAAGTGATAGTGTTTTTCTCTCCCAAAATACATTCATGTATTAAGACAATTCATAATATAACATGACAAGATGTCATCAGGTTTAGAGATCGTCAAATGTTCTGCAGTGCGATAACTGGAATTCTGTGGCAACTGGGAACTCCTGCGGTACTGATAATGAACTGCATTACTTTGTAGAAGATTGTTTACTTCTGTTTGTTGTTGTTGATGTGAATTGTTCATTGATGTCTTTTATCACACTGCTGATGCAGCTGTGTTGTATAAGCAATTTGAGCACTGCATTATAGTGATTTTACCATAGGAAAGGGGCTTTTAGATACTCCGTTTTTCGCATCACGTCTAAGGTCATCCCTTACCTTTGGTTAATTACTTCAATGCACAGACTTTCATGGCTTATTGCTCTTGTCACCTATTAGGTAAAATAACTCCCAAGTTGAATTTCCTGTGATGCTATCAACCTTGTTTTGCGGCAGTAAGTTTTGCTTTTTGTGTTACAAACCAGTGTGTTTATGATTATGATGAAGTAGAATAATATAATAACAAATATGTTTTCAGTATGCAGTGGCATAATGGACTGACAAGTAAAATAACTGGACGTGAATGACACCAGGAGCTTCACACATTCAGCTTCTAAATGGCAGCACCTGCTATTACGTTCAAAATAAGGTGGATGATCTTAATTCTATGCAGAATGTGTTAATAAAGTCACATTTTGGTACCATCATGTGTTTTATTTTAATCAAATATTGATTTAGAAATCTAATTAATTGCACTCAGCAATTGTTTCATGTTGTGCTTGTAGCTTGAATGCAGCAGCATCATGCAGAAGTCATTTTAAAAATGCCATATTCACAATCAGACATGATTAATTTATTTCACAATCAAAGTGTTTGAAAACATTGAGTTTACAGAGATAAAGCAACTAGTAGTCAGTCAATTGATCTCAGCATGTTGGCCCAACCTGATCCATGTAAAATAAATCAATCGCTGATATGACTGATATCTCTGAGTCTTCATCTCCTGTGAGTGTACATGACTTGAAACATGTCTTCCAAAAGTATCCACTTTGTGTAACACCTTTTTAAAGAGGAACAAATGAACTGAGTGGACCAAGCAATGCATGTGACTGAGCAATTCTTTAGAACAGTTTCCAACAGCAGACTCTCATTACAAACTCACTGAACGACTGAACTTGTGGACTTGAGTCAAAAAAACGAGTCTTTAAAATGTATGAGGAAGTATGACTTTAAAGGTAGTTTATTCCCAAATCCGATCCACATTCTGTCCCTCTCTCTTATTCTATGCAACCGATTACAGGGTGTTTCAGAGCAGCTCACATCTGTGCAAACTTACCTGCAGTAAATCATGCTTAGTTCCTCCAGATCTGAACCTGCTGAATCGGCAACTTCACTTTCATGTGTTTACACTTAAAAACAGATGCAAATCTAAGGTCTTTGAATTCTACAATGCTGAGCAAATAGCTAATGAGGAATATCTGATATGTAAGAGAATAACTATAAATTGTTGAGCACACACACACACCTTTTTTTTTTTGCACCATGATAGAGTTCAACAGACAATTACAACAAACCTCCTAAAACACCTATACAGTGGATTATGATGGAACTCAGAAACTACCCTCCCCATCTCTAAAGGTTAAACATGACCTCATGTCTAATGACCTTCAGGTGCATAAGGTGACCATTGTTGCATACTTTGAAATCACTCTCTTAAGTCACTGAGGTACTGGAATAATAGTGTGTTTTGACAACACAGAAGATGCAGACAGTCTGAAGAGTGTAACTGTCAAAGGTAAAAGTTTGTGAAGTACAAAATGTCTTGAGTAAAGTGATTTTAGGTGAGCAATTGTGGGATTGTACAGGTCCATTTATGCACTGACATTGTGTTTGGAAAAATGAGGTAAATAAACCACATATTTACAGATAATTATATTACAATAACTAGTGTGTCTATATACTGTGAAGCTTAAGTAGGGTGTATAACCACAAACCCACTTGACAACTGGAAGGATGGTGTGTGTGTGTGTTCATGAAGGACTAATAGATGGCCATTGTTTGCATGGGTTTGGAGTCAGCTGCAGATGACCTGGCTGATGTCTTTGTACAGCTGGTGGCTACAAGAGCAAGGGGAGGTTAGACAGAAGGGCACAGCTGCAGCACAAACATCCCAGCATACTTCAGAAGCAGCCCCGGGCCACAGTTCATCAGAACAAAGCCTCTGTATCGCTCTCATTCTCAAAGCCAAGAGCAGAGGGCAATGTGAGGGGAGAGCAATCACTTCAAGAGCTGTAGGGTGAATGTCATAAAGAAACACCACACTAAAACCAAAAGGGAAACAATTAGCTTGACACATTCAAATGTTTTGCATTTTGAAATCATTCTCATGATTAAAACTTACTCCCCATTTCAATTTTTTGGGGAAAAAAAGTCACATTACTGCAATACAATAATGAAAATCATTAAATTAGGCATGAACCGAGTACAAAAAAATACTACGATATATCCATAACTCATTTTAAAATGTTTAATATTTTATTAAATAAAATTAAATATATTTAATATATACTGTATGCATGATTGATTAATGATCGTTTTATTCATGTAAAAAAATAAGAAAATTATGCAAAAAATTTATTTTCTGCTTTTTTTTCCAGTATATTTTGGATTGAAATATAGTCTTACAGTATATTTATTTTCTATTACATATTTTAATGAAAATGACACTGGCTTAGAGTTTATAGGTCAGAGGTCACAATTCTTTTTTTTTTTTTTCACGAGACCAAATCTAAATATATTTGGACTCTTTCAATGTATTTTAAATGTTACTTACTTTCTACTAACCAGTTCAAGTGTGAACATAAATACATGAATTATGGTTATTTATCAAAGGTGTAGCATAAAAAGCCAGCCAGCCACATGATGTGTTGTGAGCTCATTCTGTACACAGATGACTGATTGCTTATCTTCAGGTGAGTGGCTCATGTGCTCTTAGCTGGAGTCTCAAAACTCGTTTTTCTGGTTTTATACTGTAACTCCACACATGAGGTCGAGCTGCTTGTTCTCATGAGAATTCAGAGTCTGAAGTGATGAAAAAACTGTGTATAGCTTTAACACAAGGGATTATGTTTTTGTATGTTAGAACTTTAATATTTCAATATTTCAGCTACTATTAGACAAATATACAATGAATCACTTGTATTGATGCCTGTGAGTTGCTTTTTCTTGTGTGTCTGTTCAAAGTATAAATGTAACCATTATTGCATTAAATTGACTTCTTAATGTTAAATAATACAAAAGTCATATTTATAGTCCTAATTGTGGTTTACTGTCATGCTTAGTCAAGCTCGCCACTTCATTATTGCATCCCAGCAGGTGGTATTTCCTTATGAAGCCATTAGAAAGTTGTATTTTCGATTATAAAAACCTAAACCATTCATGCTCAATTCTGACAAAATACAAAGAAAATACATGTTGGTTTTCTCTTTTAATTCCAATGAATCTTTTTTAGACAAATTACTAAGAACCAGCTTGAGAAATCCAAACTATATATTATATGCTTTAAAAACAAATCTTTCAAAATGATAAAAACAAATCTCTCTAAAAGATGAAAAATGTATCAAATGTTTTTACAGTATTTACAAACATATACAGTTCCCTTCTAAAGAGAAAGAGAGATGCTGTACGCTCGGTCACGGTTTCCAATCTTTCAGAGTGAGCAAAGTCCATTAGAGTATAAAAGTGCAGTAAATGGCCATAATTATTGTAACCTGGATAATTGTTAGTGACAGTATAAAAACAATTATACTCCCATACAGTCATGTTTCAACAATTAAGAGTTGTTGCAGTCCGTTTTAACAGGATTAGAAAAGAAAATGAATACTTGGCACTGACTGATGCAAAGTAACATGTTGATAGACCTGATTTACTAGTACAGAAACACTGCTTGTGACTGGTACAAATGTTAGTTGTGCACGAATAAAAAAAAACAGCACTGCTGGTTGTGAACCAAATTAAAACGGTCCCAGTACAAAGCCAGAAAGGATGGATACTTATTGTGAATGTATTAAAATTGAACCTAATGACTGAGAAAATACTGAATGAAAAGGCTGTTGCTGCACCATCACGTTCCATGCACTCGGTTTACAAACACACAAAAACACTGTAAAAAATGTTTGTCGAGATCAGCACAAACGACTAACAATCCAAGTGTGAAAAAAGCATTGCGGAATATTTTGGTGAGAGTTTTGCACATGAGAAAAATCTGGTTTCAATCCTTCATATCATTGTTTGCATGAGCCTGATGAAATATTAATGTTGCAATATCCTTCAATCTCACAGTGTGTATTGGGGCGAAGTATCCAGTTCATTTGCCCACAGCATCAAAAGCTTCTTCCAAAGTTTCCACAGCAGCTGTGTCTTGAAGACGAAGTGCTTTCCCATAGGTTTGTTCACAGAGAGAATGCATTGTCCATTCTCGAGTCGCTTAGCAGGATATACTTCACACGCATGTTTTAAGGCTCTCGTCCGGCAACATTCCTACCTTTGGAACTTAATAACCAATGGGATGAGAACAAGGCACATGAGAGTGAACAGTTTCTCTCACTCTCTACACTATCGTTCCAGGTTTAGAGTTCTCATGCCAATGGAGCGTCTGCTGGTCTTCAGAGTCAAAACTGCTGTCCATTGGGCTGCTCGTGTGTGAATCATGGTGGTTCACATCTATGTAGGATCTGCAAATAGAAAAGGGAGTAAAATGTTTTAATAATAAAAAAGAAATGTGGACAAATACGCTGATTTATTGAACATTTTAAACCCCAGTAGCACATAACATACCAGATATACTAAAAACCAGAGTCACGGTCAATAGTTTTGCAAGAAACACAATGTTACAAAAATAACTCCTTGTGCAGCTGGTTTTGCAGCATTGTGTACTAAGGAATTCAGTATATCTGGTCAAGAAACAAGCCTTGTTTCCATATTGATGCTTTTTGATTAATACGTTTAAACATGTTCATCACAGATTTGAAGTAGGTTGAGTGAGACACAACATTACTGTACAGTGTTAAACATTCATACACCTAAAGCAGACCATACAAAAACACACACGTATGCTAGTCATAACTTGCACACAGCAATCAAAAACAGTGCAGGGTCACATGCTTCCCCTCAAAACGAGACCTCACCCTTTTTTTGGAAGCAAACACACAACCATCCCACCACCAGTGAGTAAGCGCTAGAAAGTGCTGTGGAAAAGACTGTGGTTTTGTTAACCCCTGAGTGATTTGCCATTATAGTTAGAGAGGCAAATGCGAGTCCTTTACATCTCACCAATGTTTTATGTGTTGTCTGTTTCACTAGCAATTAGTGTAAAAGTATTCCGGGTCATAACCGCTGGCAACAGCACCCGGCACCTCTAAAGGTGCTGGCAACGGGCTTCTCCTGCCCGGAGTCATCCACCTGTACACGGGTGGGTATCTGTCCATAACAGGGTCAGGAGGCAGAGCCAGCAGATGGGGGTCAGGGCTGGTTTGGGAGGAAGGGTAAGCAGCAGTCAGATCAAACTGATAAGTGTTCATGTGTGCTCACTACACACAGTTAGACAGAGACAGACCACTAGATGTATGCTGATGCTTAAAGGGATAGTTCACCCAAAAATAAAAAAAACTGGCCATTTACTCACCCTTTATGTTGTTGCATATATCATTTTTTTTCTGGCATTTTATAATGTTATTTTTTTTGCCGTAAAACATTTGGTTTCTAATATGTGAAAGTTATGGAAACTAGATAACATTTTTGGCTCACTTTTCAGCAAAAGTGTCCTGTATAATTTCCTGTGTAATTATTATATCAGCTATTTTCTATCTATTATATCAGCTATCAGTTTCTATATAAAGAAAATGTAACATTTGATATATTATTATTGATCATGTATAATAAATATAAAACGATACATATAAAATTGTCTATATGTTCACCGAGGCTGCATTTATTTGATCAAAGATAGAGTAAAAACTGTAACACTGTGGAACATATTACTATTTTTTTTTCTTTTTTTTTTATGTTCCTGTGATCTTCATTTTCAGCAGTCATCTTCAGTGTCATATGTTCCTTCAGAAATCATTCTAATATGCTGATTTGGTGCACAAGAAACATTTCTTGTTATCACGTTGAAACCAGTTGTATTGCTTAATATTTTTGTGGAAATTGTGATTTTTTTTCAGGATTATTTAATGAATGGAAAGTTCAAAAGCACATTAGAAATATAAATATTAACATTATAAATGTATTTATTGTCACTTTTGATCAATGTAAAGCATCACTGCTGAAAAAAAGTTTTACCTTCTTTAAAAAAAAACGAACTGATAAAACTAACTGAAAAATCTAATTAATGACTCTTAAAAACCCTTAAAAATATTGAAGTTTGTGAGGAATACAATGGCTTCAAAAGACATAGAATAAAAATGAAAAAGTCTTATGGATACATATGGATGCTTGACACAATCTCTATATATTTGCATTTTTATAGAAGAAGAAACTCATACGTTTGGAACGATATAAGGGTGAGAACACAAGTGTGAACTACTCCTTTAAAGGTTGCTTGAAGAAACACGAGCACATTTAAAAGGAAGCCATGCAGTTGTACTTTTACAACACACAACAAGCCAGACATCCTGAGACGCTGACTAAACAACAAATCACGCTGAGCACAGACAGAGCAATCCCACACGGCTGCCGCTTTACTTACTATCAAGGGCTACACTTAGCAAATGAAGCTTTATTAACTCTTGCATGTCTTGCACCACCAGTTTGAGGCGGGGACAAACCCATCTGCTTCATCTGATAGCAAGAGGAGGAAGAAGGAAGAGGAGGAGGAGGGAGGGAGGAAGAGCAAGCTTGGGAGAAATGAGGAGGATAGTACTGAGGGCTGGCGGGGTAGTGCCAAGCACGTTTAGAGTGCGAGCTGGAGCCTCTGTGAGGGAAAGAACGGTCATAAGGAGAACAAAGCGTGAGAGCAGGTACCGCACCAGCGCTCCTGCAGAATTAACCAGATGCAAGGTGTCAGGCAAGCTGTTAGCTAGAACATGCCCATAAACAACTGTAGCATATCAGCTAAACACACAGAAAAAGGTACAAAAGCTGTTACTGGGACGGTACCCTTTCAAAGGGCACACCTTTGTACCTAATTTACCCCTGAAAGGTGCATATTAGCACCATGTATTAGTACCTAAAATGTACAAATTGGTACCAAAATGGTACATATTAATACCTTTTGAAAGGGTACCACCCCAATGACAGATTTTGTACACTTTGGCAAACATCATAAAAGAAAATTATACATTATCCAAACTAGAATTTTCTTTGAAAAAGTAAAAATCTAGAATAAAGGGTGTTTTACAGGGTATTCTTGGTGGATGCTTACTGGCTAAGTCAAAAAGCCCACCCAAGCTTCTGTTATATGGATTGGGACCCTCATTCAATGTAGGACTATGAGATTTTTCACCTTTTTTATAGTGAGACACTATAGACCCAACGCAGTAATGAGTTTCTTGGCATGGCATTGTGATGGTAGTGCGTAACTCTGGTTAAGACGGTTCAGATAAAGGCTAATGAGGTAATCAGTAAAGGACGATGGAGCACAGAAGAGTTGTACCTGCTGTGTAACGGTTGGCTGTAATGGACAGTGTTGTAGCCGTAGGACTGATGATGTGCGGGAGGCATATCGTACTCTGACATTGCCATGACTGGTCGACCGTGCCAGTTTCCCGAACCCACTGCGATGAAATTAAGATGAAAAGAAATTAATGAAGGAGAACCTCATGCAGATAACATTACTGTTCAAGAGAGAAGAAAAATTACTCAAGACAGCATCAAAAAACACTCAAGGTTTTAAGACTGGCTTGGGTAATTAAATGGCCGATATTTGACTGTTATGGCAGATTAACAAAAGTTTTAGATGCCCATTAAGTCACTTCCAAATGTAATAATATATAAATGGCATGTCAAAATTGTAATGAAAATTTCTGAAGTAAAACTGAATTTATATATACAGTGGGTACGGAAAGTATTCAGACCCCCTTAAATTTTTCACTCTTTGTTATATTGCAGCCATTTGCTAAAATCATTTAAGTTAATTTTTTTTCCTCATTAATGTACACACAGCACCCCATATTGACAGAAAAACACAGAATTGTTGACATCTTTGCAGATTTATTAAAAAAGAAAAACTGAAAAATGCTCAGTATTTAGTAGAAGCACCCATTTGATCTAATACAGCCATGAGTCTTTTTGGGAAAGATGCAACAAGGTTATATCCTAATCCCACCCCCCCTCTCTCTCCCACTTCACTTCCTGTCAGCTCTGATCTGTCCGAAACATAATAAAGGCAAAATTTATTGTAGGCTGCCACATACAAGTATTCTATGTATTCTTGTATGTGGCAGCCTTTATGTCCAAGACAAATTTCCCTAGGGATAAAGTAATCTTGAAGATGCCAAAAAAAGGCTTTTTTTTCCCTTATTCATGATTTCTGTATTTTTTTCTTTTGATTGAGTTCAAATGTGTCATTGTGAGATTCACCGACTGACATTAGAAGTCCAGAAAAATTTCTAACATGAGGAAACGCAAGGTAGCATTTTTATGCAACAGTTCTCACCTGTCGAGTAGGAAGTTGTACTGTCACTGCGTACGTAACTCGATGACATGGTCCTGTAGCCCAGGTTCTGCTGCGGTCCCCTGTAGGTATCATACCCTTGTTGTCTGTGCTGTCGGTTGTACCAACCACGCAAGTGTTCCACCACTTCACCCCTTTGCATGTTTTTGACAATATTCTCATTCCTGGATGGAGGACGGTTCCTTGATGGCCTTAATGTGGCATAAAGGTTATGAGACAAACCATCTATCTCGTCCTTGCCATAGTTCCCATGAGGGCCATGTCTGTAGTAGGATGGGTTAACATTATAGTGTCCTTCCATCTCAGTCTCGTACGGTCCATTTGGGTACACCTCAGGTTCGATGTACCGTGGATACCCGGTAACGTAATAGGCTGTGGTGGTTGGTTGTTGGTGAGGTTGGGGTGTATAACCCCGTGTCTCGTTTTGTGCTAGGTTAGGCATGCTGCCCGTGTTGGCGTATATGTTACCCTGCCTCCGCCGATGGCGGTTTTTAGCACGAGAATGGCAGCCGGGTACGGAGTACTCCACACTGGATTGGCTGGTGTAGGAGGAACCATCGTCAAGTATCTCAGTGCTATTGCTACGACGAGGAGGAGATATGGTGAAGACGGGCTCGGATGGCTCACTTTCCGTAACGAACTGTGACTGAGATTCCAGACTGCCGCTGCGTTGCCGAAAATGAGTGCTGCATGCAGGAAGAAGAAAAATAATTTGTGAAAACATTTTTTGTTAAATAGTGGATGGAAAGTACAAATTTGAATTGATACAGTTTAACAATTCAAATTACTGGAAACCCAATAATTGTTTCACATTGGTTTGTAGGCCATTTTACTTCACACAAACACTTACAAAAAGCCATATCTAGGCAAAAAAATATTTTAGGATGGAGCAAAACTAGAAAATTTCTAAATTTTCCAAGTTTTTCTTTGACTTTTCCAAGCCTGGAAATCCCTGACCTTTACATGTTTTCCATGATTGTTGGAATACTGTGTTTATTCCTTACTAAATGTCATTCAAGGGTCACACTAGTGGGTGGGTGAATAAGAGGGGTCGATTGTGTTCTGTACCTGAGCTGGATGCTGCTGTAGGCATTGCGGGGAAGTTGAGGGGTGGGGGGCATGCTCCGCGAGTCAGAGGGTTGGCGTGAGGGTTGACGGTAGGGACTGCTGTGTGTCGATAAGGCGTCTCCGTGTATATAGGCCACAGATTCTTGGACTTCACCATAATTTATTCTAGAACACAGATAAGAACAATGCTTTATCAAACCAAACTTCCTTCATGGGTGGTGTTCTTACCACACACAAAACCTCAAAGTAAGTACACAAAAAATATTCACAGCATGCCACCCTTGTACCTAGTTAAATCTAATACAAAAACTCAATGGTTTTTGAGGAACAAATAGCAAATGACTGAATCCCATATCATTTTACAGACAGATTTCAGTCGTCTGGCCCCAATGAACTTCCACCACACTAGCAAATTCTATTAATGCCCGTTGTTCCTGTGAGATTTTCCAGAGCAGCTTTCCAGCTTATGCCCCTTCCACCCCCACTTTGTGATTATTGCTGTAGTTTTTGCAGTCAGGCAGCGACATGCTTATTCCTGGGGCACTATTTTTAACACTGTGAGTGTTTGGGCTGATAAGAGGAGATTGTGAAGAAAGAAGTCGAGGCAAGGGAAGGCTGGAATGCACGGCTGATTCCTTTTTTCGCAGGTCTTTAACTAGCTCAACAGCACAAAAGCAAACAGCAGCCATAGGCAGGGAAAGGTAAGAAGTGCTCAAGCTTAATCCCAAAGAGCTGTGGTTGGCAGGACTCTCACCTGCCGCAGTCCTGGTAGTCATCATTGGCGTGATCTATGTGATCTGAATGGTATGATGCAGCGAAGGAGTTTGACGAGTTGGGACGTGGAGAATACTGCACTGAACGTGAATGTTGTCTCTGCGATGGCTCATCTAAGACAAAACAAATTAATAAGATTAAGAGGGTAGCCACCTAGTCTAGCCTGCAGAGATAAGTAGCAAAGGCGTTTATACACTACTGTTCAAACGTTTGATGAATACTTTTGAAATTTTATTCAGCAAGGATGCATTAAATTTACCAAAGGTGACAGTATAAAATTCTACCCTGTTAGAATACTCCATTATTTATAGCAATACTCACCATCTTCCAAATTCAAGCTGTCAGAAAGGCTGTCAAGGTTCACATCATCTGCAACAACAAGAGAGATTATAGTTCTGCGTGTATTATTTCCTTGCCGCCATGATCCATTACCTCTACATAACATAAAACATTAGCTCATCACAAGTGAAGCATCAAACCTTGACTGTCAACACAGTGCAAGTTTGCTTACACTGTATAAGCATGCATGTTTTCAGGGTTCACACACATTTTGACCAACACGTGTGTTGATGACATATATATATATATGATGACTAAATATATGCACCAGCAATGATGACGGAAGCTCTTTGCGTGGGCTCCTTGCCAATCTTCACTCTGTAATCATTAATCTGATTTTCGATCTCCTGGAGTTTTTTGGTAGTGTCCAAAAGGTTTCTCCTACGTTTCTTCTTCACAGTTTTACAGAGCTCATTTTCATAGGCAAGTTTTTTCGCTGCCTCCACAATCTTCTTCTGGAGCGCAAAGCAGCTCTCCAGGTTTCTTAAATGAGGATCCTGCAAGGAAAAAAGTTGAATTAGCAAAGTACACAAAATCAAGCAGTTCTTGCATAATTTCTGAGAAAAGCAATTGAGGCAGCCTACAGCATCATAAGGGAAAAGGTCATCCAATTTGAAAGCAGTTCCCACGCGCCTTCGAACAGTAGGGGGCTTCTCTCCTGGTGCCAAAGGATACTCCTTAGGCAACACACCGGTCAACTCCTGATCAAATAAAAAGAGAAAGCAAAGAAAATCTTAAGATATGACTGTTTAAACTGACATAGCTGAAAGAGCATATGGAAATATGACAAGCCACTAACAGCTTCCCGGAGACAAATTTTCTTCAGCTCTTCTTCCTTGAGTGCCAGAATTTCTTTTATGCTCTCCTGTTTGTTCTTCAGTTCTGCAATCTTCTCTTTCTTCTGTTCCTCATTCACTTCATTGTCTCCAGAATCTAAATGAAAGCAAAAGCAAGCTCAATCACGACATCGGTACGAATGACATGAGTTCATTAAGCTGTTCTTGGAATGGGAGAAACAGGCTGTCTTACTGGAAGAGACCAAACTTCCATTGCTGGCCATGATGAGCTTGTCTTTACTCTCCATGCTGACCAGCTTACTGTTCCTTGGAGCACCATTCTCTGTGAGATCCATGGCAATATCACCCAAACTTCTTGCTGTAGTTATTTTAGCCTTTAGGTATGTAAAAAAAAAAGAGGTTATTACAGCATCTCAATCACTTTTGCATGCTCTCAGCCTAGAAACAGAGTAATGATTTGTGCAATTCTGAATTTATAAGTAATAATATAATAAATAATATAATAATAAAATATACTCACTTTACTCTGCTTGCGGTCCAGGTAGAACTGGTGTTGGCTGATGGCCATCACCCAGATGGTTTTGATCAGAGAATGGCTGGCATACCACGCGTAGATGACCTGACCAGATTGACCAAATGTGCGTCTAGAAGTTGTTCTTCTGTGGATTAACACGTGCACACTGAAGCCAAACAACGCATTTGATCCTATGTTGTATCAATAATTAAAATATTGGTTACTGTAACAGTAATCATATAAATGGTAAGATAGAACAGTAAAAACATTTAAAAATGACAATAAAAAGTAGTCAGGTTTATTCAAACTAAATAGCTTTTTAAATCCAAATAAATTAGATGTCACCACATCAAGCAGTTTTAAGGTTACCGGATATATAATACCGACTGACTATAAAGGTGGTCAGTTACACTGTGGCACAATGTCCTGTGGGATATCATCTTTGTTTACAGAGCAACCCTAACCTGTATTACTACTGCAACGTGAAGTGACCAATTGCTTCACTGTTGCAGTTCAGCGTTGGAAACACATTAGCTACGTCAAAAGGCTTTGCATTGCTAACATTTACTTAGTCTATTCAAAGGCCACATCCTATAGTCTATAAGTAAAGAAATAATGCTTAGCAAAATCATAAACCGTGCTCACTGAGTGCTTCAACCAGTTTCATTCAGGTTTATAACATGGAAAATGTACATCAAGACATGACCTATTGTAGATTTATTAATAACACTTTAGTATAAGGACCAATTCTCACTATTAACTAGTTGCTTATTAGCATGCCTATTATTAACATACTGGCTGATTATTAGTACTTATAAAGCGCATTCTGCATGACCATATTCTACATCCCTAATCCTACCCAATATATAAAATGAACAACTACCTTACATTAACAATTAATAAGCAGCAAATTATGAGCTTACTGCAGCAAAAGTCATAGTTGATGGTTTGTTAATAGTGAGAATTGGACCTTAAAATAAAGTGTGACTGATTTATCTTGTTCTCTCACCTCTGAGGGTCACTGACCTCTACAGCAAACTTCTTCTCTCGGAAATACAGGTTTTCAAGCTGTTTCCACAGAAAGAGCTACAAAGAAAAAGGAAATGAGTTAGACAGGAACTATATTAGGAACACTGTTACGCGAAAAGTTATGAAACTATCTCAATGACAAAAAAGTCTTACAAACAGGATTTGCACTAATTTCTATGATCTAGATATTTCTTTGTGAGATTCACCCATTGAGAACATTTACATCCCTGTATTTTAGCATTTAAATTATTTTGCGTTCTCTTGTCAAACCAAGAAAAATATATTTTAATTCCCTCCTGGAAACACTATACTCTGAAATCGCTCACAAAAACATCACTACATCAGTATGGATATTGATATATTTAGCTGGAAGCACAAGACAGTTGCTTTGGGTATGAAGCCAATACAATCAAAGCACTACAGAAGCAAAGCGTCCACTGAGCTCACAACTAATGATCAAATTCGCCCTAAAGGGAGAGCTCTGAAAAACAGGTTTGTGGTAAAAGCATGGCCAAAACATCTGCCATTCATGAGAACTGTCCTTTCAGATCTTTATTCCAGAGCTCCATCATAGATCTTCCCAGCTTAGGGCAGGGTAAGTACAATATCCAACTACTATCAGCGTGCGGGGGTGAGGACTTGCCAGGAATGTTAATAAACGCTTCCCACCAGGTACTGCTCGAATGCAGCTCTGAGTAATACACACAGGAACAATATGATCAGAGTGTGGATCACACAGAATATTTGACTGCCGAGAGCATATTAAAACTTGACATATTTCTGACAGTTATGATCAATAACAACAAAATGAATAATGACAACTTATTCTAATTTCAGAGATCTTAAAAAAATGGACCTTACCAGTTCAGTTAGTAAGCCTTTAAAGTCCCTGGATAGCTGGACAGGTTCAGTATAGTCCTGATCTAAAGTTTCCCACAGGGTTGTGGCTTCCTCGAACAATACTCTCTTGTGTGCTTTCGAAGAGACCAAAAGGTGTTGCAAGAGTTTCAGGCGATTGAGCCCCGCCCCTTCCCGCCCCCTTCCTGTGACATCACTAGCACCTCACTTTGCCATTACCCACCTTGAGCGGACTTCTCTTCAAGTACTAGTGTCTCTCTCCGTTTCCGTCTGCCGACTATGCAATCACCTCTGTGAAACTCTCCAACTCACACATGTAATTAAACCTCCGCGTTCACAACTTCATTCTTTCTCTACGGTCACCACCCTCTTACTCTGATACCCGATTCCTGTCCTTGTCAAACCAGACAAACAGGTTACGCTCTCTGAAATACACACACATAGTATGTTTTTCCTCTTGTTCCGATTTGGGAGGGGATTTGGTGCATTGATCATAATGAACACCCTTCTATAGCTATTCATTAATCCATGTTCCTTGTCTCATGTCAATGTCAATGTCTCATTTTTACAGTCTGAACCGTAATCCTTCACCCGTTGGTTTGGATGCTCGTTCCCTTACGTTTCCCAAGGCAAATATGCCAGGAATCTACTACTTCTTGTAATCATTAATGGCTGGCCATGGAACTCTTCACCTCCTGGTGAAAACAGCATGCCTCTCTCATATCATGACTCACTATCTGACAACAACATTAAAGTTTCCTGACCTTTCTTTGACATTAGACAAAATAACTAAAAATATATACTACTTTATATGTTATAAGTCCAAAGGTGGTACTGATCACTCAAAATTAGCAGTATAAACACAATTGACCCACAAACATTACTTTTTTGTCAAGCCATTATCTTATTACCAGAACATGTGATAACGCATTATAATGTATTTCTTATGACTCTGAAATTGTGCAAAATCAGCTAATTTAAAACCAGGACTGGGAACAATAAAAGCATTCTCAACAATCTACTAACGGCAGCAGTTTAAAAAGCTGAGCGAGACGAGCTTTTCAGCATAATTCTTTTAGACAATTAAATGACTGATAACAAGATAAGTCTGAGGGCAAATGAGAGAGCATGCAAATGGAAAGACAATGGGAACAATCTTCAACACAGTCAGGCAAATCTAGGAAGTCTGCAGATGTTAAGAATTAAAGCAAAATTAAATTAAATTAACAAAATAAAAATAGATAATTAAGCTAAACAAAAATAAATTAAAATACTAATTAATAAAAAAACAAAAACAGTTAAATTAAAATAAACAATTTTTAGGGTGGCAAACATGCGGACCCAAACCCTTCATAATGTATTTTTTAGGTATCACTGATCCTGATGTAATTGTCGCATTTGATACCAATTTGTTTAGCACTAGTATCGATACTAGTGGATTCAATTTACACTAATCTAAAAAGCAGCTCATGCTTAATCTGGATGTGTGAAAGTAGTATTTTATAATCCTACACACCTTAAAGTCTTTCATGTCACTGGGCTAATGATGATGCAGTGCAGAAATATGTTGTGAATATGAACACACCCTCAAGATGTGTCACTATATCTTCAAGACTGGCTGCGCTCACACAGTAGCGGAATATGGTTATCAGTCCTTTTTTGGAGTGGTAGATATAGTTATACAAACACACAGATATATGATGAGAGTGATAACTGCATTCTATAACCAAAATTACTGGAACTGCAACTTGTATGAGCTGGACTGTCACACTGACTGTGTGAACTTTGCCACAAAACATTAAACTTAAATGAAAGCACAGATTTAAGTGAAAGAGAATAACTTCAGAAGGTAAGGCATAAAAAAAAAGTAAGTATAACAGAAGCCACACCAGACACCACCAATACATGTGATCAAATATGAGCAATCCAGACGCAATTGTCATATTCTGCATCACCCTCTCTCAGACACAAGACACTCATACAGACAAAATCCCTCTGGAGGTAACCACAAATAAATAGTAAAAACAGTTTAGAAAGAAATGTGAGTGGTGTTTGCATACGCAAATCTCAACACCTTGCTGGGGTGTTGCTATACGGTTGTTAGGATCTTCAGAGTGGTTTTTAATACATAGTCAGTATAATATAAAGTCAGTATTTTCCATATAATACTTTATTCATTTTCTTTGGCTTTAGTGCACCTTTTTTACATTTTTATTTACTTAATTTTGCAAACAACAAGTTATCGTTATAATATCACACATTTTTTCCCACATAATCTAAATGGGTTGTGACACTTGTAACTATATTGCCATCTTTATTTTTTGGCAAGGTGGTCCCTTGCAAGGAGAGATCATATTTCCTTGGCATCAAAATGTTTGAAAACCCCTGCTTTACACGATGACCCAATGATATAGGCTAACACACAAGAGCACATAATTTAGTATAAACACAATGTAAACAATAAAAATGTATTAACTGTCATCTGCCCGTGTCTGATCTTTTAGCAACTTTCCTATACTAAAACTGGGGACAAACTAATGACAGGAGTTTTGATATTTCAAATGTATCTTTATCAGGAATAATACAAAATACACTTCATTTACTTCTTTGATAAGGCATCAGTTCAGAGCCCGGGAAAGTTCAGACAAAAAGTTTCAGAGCTTTTAATACCGCAGACCCCCAACAGCTTTTGCATGTGGAGGAGTTATAGCCGCGAGACCCCTCGCTCTCCTCTATGGCCCCCTGCTAAGCTAATTGTGTTTTATTGCTTGATCAATTGTCAGGGCTGAGTGAAATGCACAATGACGGTCAGATTTGCATAATGAGCTTGGTGTTCTGGAAGAGATTGGGGGGCGGGTGGACACAAAGACTGCCCTCTTTGGCAGGAATTACAATCAATACTGGCCAGATGATGGGTTGCACTCTGACAGGGCCTAGTGTACCTTTAAAAAGAGTGTTAAAACACTCATTCGAGTGGGAAAAGACACAAAAAGGAGAGGGAGGGAATGGGAGAGAAGATAACCAAATTTATTACCTTTTTTTGGACAAGGTACCTTGAAAAATTGTGAATATATGTATATCAATGTACTCTGGCGATACTATGTGATAGCAACACTGTACAATGGTGCCACCACATTACCTTTTTGTTAAGACAAAAGGAGAAATAAAAAGGAAGATGTTTACTCCCGTAACACCCCGTAGATGCCTTTGCCAGGAGAAGAGCTGATTGGGGCTCCATCAACAGAGCCAATCCACATTCAGACATCACCCTGCCGCCCAGCGCTGTTCCCCATGAAGCTCCATAATTACACCCTCTACAGGGAGGGGCTGGTGTTCATTGCTGCAATGCAGCAGGGTTTCAGAGTGGGACATGCCCATTAACACTCTGGAACAGGGCTGAATATACATACACACCCAGCTGCGTCCTACAAAGCACTGGTGTAATGGATGCCAATTAACAGACACTTTAATGAGTGAGGCTGGGGTGAAATATAGAAGCTCTCCTCATAAAAAAAGAGCAATGGTTACTAATCTCTCATGGAACAGACATGTGATAAAAAACGTGATAAATGAGCATGTTCATTAAAAATGTCAATTAACAGAAAATTATCGGTAAGAAATATCTACAGAAGAGGCACACCAATACTGTTGTGTTCACAGGTACTGGGTTAACGCAATGTCTGCTTCTACGAACAAAGAACTGGATTTTACAGCTTATAGTAGGGCTGAACGATTTTGGAAAATAATCTAATTGCGATTTTTTTTTTACCAATATTGCGATTGCGATTTAATATGCAATTATTTTTTAAAGATCTTTATGTTCTGTATTATTCAACAAAGACAAGCTATAAATCATTGTATAATATGACCAACACAATATTAGATAGATTAAACATAAATGTTCCTTTCTGTAGGCCAGGCCTATATGTTAGGATGTAATTGAGTGATGAATGAATTGAAATGACATTTTTATTTAACAACTACAATCACAGTATATTGACTGATTTGCTGAACTTCCAACATTGTAAGCATGTAATAATTATGACAACATAAAGCAATTAACAAATAGCCTGGTGTAAACATTAATATGAAAGTCAGTAACAAATCACACAAACTAAAGTAGATTGCAGAAATATAAAAACACATCTGTTGCTTTACCACACTACTTTAGGTAATTCAAAGTCAATGTAATAAACATA